CCCCAAACCCCAAACCCTAAACCCCAAACCCTAAACCCTAAACCCTAAACCCTAAACCCTCACAGGGGAAGGGCTGCGCAAAGGATGCTGCAGCATCTACTGCGGGAAGGCCGCAGTAAGGAGCAGGAGGCCCTTGGCTGAGAATGTCTCGGTAGCAGTGCTCCCCTGTACACAAACCCTAAACCCTAAGCCCTAAACCCTAAACCCTAAACCCTTAACCCTCGGCTCTAGACCCTAAGGCCTGGAATAACGCGAAGTAAGGGCCCCGGACGCAGCAATTCTCTCCAGTCTATAGCACTCAGGGTGCTGCTGCTGCTGCTGCTGCTATTGCTGCAGCTACAAGCCAGCGTCATGAGCAACAGCAACAAGTGCAGTAACTGCGGCAGCCGCAGCAGCAGCAAGCCCAAGAGCAGCAGCAGCAAGAGCAGCAGCAGCAGAAAGCGCACCAACGGCAGCAGCAGCGAGTGAAGCAGCAGCAGCAGCAGCAAGTGCAGCAGCAGCAGCAGCAGAAGGCGAACTCACCCACAGGCTCCCACTCCGGGCCGTCTGCCTTGAGGGGCAGCTCGAGAGCAGCAGCAGCAGCAGCTCTTAAGAAGGCCCCCGGCGAGGGTGTGGGGCGGCTGCCTGCTGCTCTTGCTGCTTCTTTCTGCAGCAGCAGCAGCAGCACGGCAGCAGCAGCAGCAAGCCGGCCTCCGTGTGCGCTGCTGCTGCGTTCTGCCTAGGGTTTAGGGCTAGGGTTTGGGACTTAGGGTTTACGGTTAGAGTTTGGGACTTAGGGTTTAGGGTTAGGGTTTGGAACTTACCAAATCTGGTGCTGCAGCAAAAGCACAAAGCTTAGGGGGCCCCCCTTGGCGGGGGCCCCCGGGGGCCCCCGGAGCGAGGCCCAGGGCCCCCTGCTGCAGTCCCTGCTGCAGCCCCTGCTGCAGCCCTTGCTGCAGCCCCTGCTGCAGCCCCTGCTGCAGTCCCTGCTGCAGCAGCGGCCGCCAGGGGTGCTGCGCTGCTGCTGGCTGCTGCTGCGGGTACCCCGCGAAGGCCTGCAGCAACAGCAGCAAAAGCGTGTCTTTTGCTGCTTCTTTGGCAGCAAAGAAGCAAACAAAAGAGTTACTAATTGAATTAAATAAATAAAATTAAATAATTAATTAATTGATTAATTGGCGAAAACCCACAGCTCTCATGGGCACCCCCAGCGGCAAACCCTCAGCAGCAGCAAAGGGGGCCCCCTCAGCAGCAAAGGGGGCCCCCAAGGCAATGCTGTCAACAACAAGGGCCTCTGTAGGGTCTGTTAAGAGGGGCCCCGAGGTGTGAGGCCCCCCATAGGCCTGGCCTGCTGCTGCTGCTGCTGCTGCAGCAGCACC